TTGTTAAATCAACCCAAATATATTATACATCATTAATATTACAACCAATAAATTATATTATGTTATTTGGTATATAAATTTAATATTTGACATGTGTAAATCAAAGGCCCGTGAGTTAACACATATTTTTTTTTAATTTATAAAAATAAATTATTATATCATGCGTAATATATTAAATTAATTAATATCAAATAAATATAAATAATATGTATATTGTATGTCTTTATAAGATAAATTGACTATGTTCTTTTAAATCATATGCACATTTGTATATGATTTATATTCCAGATATATATGTTTATAAATATTCCAGATATATATGTTTATTTGATTCAATTAATATGTATATTCACATAAATTTTATTTTACTGCTTTTTTTTTTCCAGAAAAGAGAATGTATCATCGTCCTATATTGATTTACCCATTTCACAAAAATCATCATTATTGTCACACAATATTTTTAAATATTAAATTAAAATTTATACTACAAAACTTTATGTTTGCTAATTAAAAATCGCTATTTTTTTATTAATGTTCGGATATTATTTTATTAAAAATAATCAGATTAACACTTGAATTGCAATTCAATATGAATTGTATGATTTGTTACAAAACTCTAAAACTCTAATTGCATATGAAACTTTCTAATATATAGAATTTGTTACACTTTGTATTTCAAAAATCTCAAATTAACAATTGACTGAAACCCTAATCATTTTTAATAACTCAGTTTTGAATTGAGATCCACTTTCTGGTATCCAATAAATCAATATTTTTAAATTTAAAATAGCTAATATAAAGAATTTGGTTCAATTTACAATTCAAATATATCTACATATATATAGATTCAAAACTCATAACAAAGTTCTTAACAATTGACTAAAAATATGATTCTTGGTACTCAATTTTGAATTGAATTCAAATTTTAAAAATCTAAGAAATCGGCAACTATTTCTAAAAGTTAGATAATCAAAGCAAGAGAAGGATTGTCTTAATCAAAAAAGATAAACATGCTCCATACAAAATATTAATTAGATAAACATGAATCAATTTATTTAAGAACTAATTTTTCCCTTAAAAGATTGTGAATTACATAACCTCCGATATACACAAGATCCATACAAAATAAAATTTAGATATACATAAATCAATTTATTTATTAAATATTCTAGAATTTATAAACACGTGATATAGAAATATATATCACGTGTTTATAAAACTCGTGAATATAGATACACGAATATATAGCAGCAAATGTTTAAAAGATCTCCACCCAACCAACTTACACATTAGTCGAAATAAACTCATGTTAAAAAACTTTTAAATCTTAATATACGGCCCAATCTGCAATCTTAGCCTCATTCAAAAATTTAATAGATTTGTGCTGAAATTAGATTAATCAGATTTTGTTTTAACTGTGCAAAGGGTGCAATTTTGTTTCGCTTGGACTTCATATGCAAAGCCTGTCAATGATAGTCTCTAAATTACTGTTAATGTTCTTTTACCTTGTGATTGTTTTCATTCTTAATGAAAATACTAATTGTTAATGTTCTTTTATTTTACGATTGTTTTCAAGTTAAAAACTTGATTATTTTTCATCATTAAGATCCACTCCCCCAAAATAAAATTATTGGATTTATTTTTTGGGGGAGTGGATCTTAATAATGAAAAGTAGTCAATAAATTGTTATCTAATATCAGCTCACAAATTTCAATAGAAAATCGAACAAACAAAAAGATGTTAGTAGTTGTAACAAAAAATTATTTAAACTTGGTGGTTAGTTACTACAGAAAATGTCATCTTTTATATCTCTAAAACACATATTAAGGATAACTTTGAACAAAAATTAAGATAGATAGTCTATTCATAAACAATTAATAAAAAACAAACAAACCAATTTTGTGTCGAACCTGAAACATTACAACTAATATTTTTTTTAAAAAAAAATATAGAAATTATTAATGAAAAGTATACGTTTATTTACAATCTTATTTTGATTTATTTGATGGTCAACTTAATAATTTTTGTATGTAATTTTTATTTTATTTGGAGAAAATTGTGAAATATGGATTATGAAAAAGGGAGAGATGAGAGAAATTAGAGGGAATCATTAAATTATGTTTCAATCTCTAAATTATCAACACACTATTAAGGAAGTTATATGATTCAAACTAAAAATATACGTTATTAGTATAGCTGAGAATGTAAAATAACTGTCTACATAGAATAGGAATGAAAGAGTTAAAGTAGGAATAAAATATAATTTATAATACAGTTGAAAATTAGAAAAGTAGTCTAAGCGTGAGAGAAATTTTTTCGACGACAACAATCAGAATCCGCAGCCCAGGAGAGAAGCCCAACAAGGGAGCCCAGTTGAGTGGGGCCCAGTTTCTGAAGCCCTTTGTACAGCCCGCGTCCGGCCCGACTCTGCCCGTGCTCCTCACAACGAGTTACCCAATAATCAAACTCATAATGTTGTGTACAAAGAGATTTTTAATAATATAAATTTTTTTCGTGACGAACATTTTATGATGAATAATGTTCGTATGTATTAAACTCTCATATATCTGATGCATGTCAAATTATAGTATTATCTAAATTTATGTATCCGTGCATCGCACGGGATACGCACTAGTAATTTTTAATTATTAGATTGAGTTGGGTTGGGTTGAGGATAAGAGCATCTCCAATGCTACACCTTTGAAAGACTATAATTTTTAACACATGTCAATCAATGATAATTTTAATCCAACTAGGAATAATGTTAAAAGAGTAGAAATTTAAATCAAATTAGTATCTCCAATGCATCAATTTCATAAGAAGTTATTTGCATAGGTGGACCAATAAAAATAATCATTAATACAAGAAAAATAAAAAAATTAAATCAAATATAAAGTGATTAATTAGACATCATGTTTAACATGTTGTTAGATATTAGAAAGTGTATTCAACATTGTCAACATTAAATGCTATCCACCTCATCATGAAAGAGCTCATGACAAGATGCATTGGAGAACAAATTAGTAACACACTTTTAAAAGTTGATGATATGGATGAATTTTTATAATGTCAAAAGTCACATTCGAGATGCTCTAAGGATGGTCTAAAGTTCATCTCTACCTGTCCATTTTTATAGACATGTTCGTCCCAAAATCCGCTATGCACAATTCGAACTTTTTCACACGCCATCTATAAAAAATAGATACAAAAGTATTTCACAAAACAATGTCAAAAAAACATGTCTTATATGTCATTCAATGTCTTATATAATGAAACAAATAAAATTTAAAATCGATTTTTGGGATCGATTTCTTGTACCAGAAATCATTATGGGATCTAAAAAATGATCCCAAAAATCGTTTTTAGGATTTCTTGGATCTAGAAATCGTTTCTGGGGTCCGGAAAATGGTATTTATTTATAAAGATAAAAAAAAAAATTGAGTTTTTTTTGCAATTATACAAAATGTGGAAATTTTATGTGAAATTAAGACTTATTAGAGGAATTTGCATCCCTTACAACTAGTTATGACTTTTATTACACTTATATGCTTTTTATATTTTTATTTATAAAATTGCCCAACTAAGCTAAAATTATTTCAATAATACCTCAATTTGGGATGTAACAGTTATTCCCTATTTTCTTGGCTTATTAAATGGTAATCCGATTCGTAATTGAAATTAAAGATTTCTTTTACCTAAAAATTGAAACTCTTACTGCAAACAACACACCACCCACGTCTCCTTTATCTCTCTCTCTCTCTGCAAAACCGCATCCGTCCCAAGCCATCCCCATCCGCCTCCGACTCCTCGCTCAAGCACCGCCGCCCCGCGGACAAGAACATCCGTCGATCATCTCCCGCCGTCATTTGCAGTAGTTTATTCTTGTTTAAGGTATATTCTCAAGTTCGTTTGCTTTGACTGCCTTTGCCTTTCTTTTCTTTTACAATTTAAATGTCGTGTCTGTTACTTCTCGTTTTTTATTTTCTCCTCACTCATTTTGTTGGCCGTAACATGTAGCAAGTTTCTTTAATCCTTCCCAAATTTCAACATCCTTTTAATCTGATTTGTTGAAACAAAGTATTTGAATTGTTTTTTTCTTTTGTTCCTTTTGAAGTTTTATGTTTATTGGTTCCCAAATTTTATGGTTTTTTATTATTTTTTCTTTTGTTCCTTTTTAAATTCTTTTGTTCCTCGGGATTTTTTAAGCATTGTAATTATGTGTTGGACCTTTAGTTGATTCTTATTGATTGGTATATGTTTTATTGATAACCGAAATTTATTTTTTCTAATTTGTTTATGAAAACCATGTGGGATTTGGGAGTGGAGCTCGGGAAGGTGAAGAGGAAAAGGTTCGTCGACGGGGAGATTTAGGGGCTGTGATGTTTACATTTTCTGTTGGAACTTATATATCATATAAAGCCCTAACAAATTGTTCTTTGTACGTTTTCTTTATATGTAGCGTGTATATGCAGTATATGTGTAGTATATGTACATATTAGGGATGTGTACATTTATTGAACATTTAGTTTATGTTTGGTATATTGTTTGTACAAATTAGCTTGTGAATGGATAATTTTTTTATGTTTTCAATATTTATTCATAGTTTATGTTTGGTATATTAGAAGATTTTTTGTTGAACACAGCACATATATCATTAATAAAAAAAACGAGTTGGGTATATGTTGAAAATGTATATAATTCGAAGGTATATTTACAAACTGAGTTGGGTATATGTTAGGTATATCCGAGTATATCCGAAGTAAATTTTCTCTGGTTAACTGTTTAATAATTCCTTTTTTTCTTGGGTTATATGTTGGGTATATCTGAATATATCCGAAGTAACTTTTCTCAGTATATGTTGCACATATACTGAATATGTACTAACATAAACTCAAAATATACCACCTGGCGAATGCGTGAATTATATAATTTTTGCAACATACACTGAATATATACTAACATAAACTCAAAATATACTGGCCTTGTTTGGCGATCAGCGGATAGCGGATAGCGGATAGCGGATTGTATTAGCGGATAGCGGATAGCGGATTGTATTAGCGGATAGCGGATAGCGGATTATATTAGCTGATTTGACCAGCGGATTGCATTAGCGGTTTTCAAATAAGTGTTTGGTAAATAGCTGAAAGCTTATAGCTGTTTAACATTGTAAATTACCAATAAATATATTTTATTATTTAGGGTATATTCTTTTAATAATAATATATTAAAACATGTAATATTCTTAAGTTGGTAATTTATAAATATATATTTTTTTTTTTTAAATTTACTAACACTTGATTAAGAAGTTATGAATTTTATATTTTTCTAGATAAATTAATCATATGGATGACATATTATTATTTATTAGCACCATAAACCAATGTAGATTGTAAAATAAATAATACAAATTAAAAAGTTACAAATTAAAATATTAAATTGTGAATCCTCTAACCCCAAAAAGCTCATCTAATGAGCTTTTTCTAAATTAGAGTTTTGGACCCAAAAAGCTTATCAAATAAGTTATTTACCAAACATGCTCAATAGCGGATTTGACGGGTCAAACCTCTCAATTAAGTCTAATCCGCTAATTTATTTTCAATCCGCTATCTTCCAAACAGGGCCACTACCTGACGCTGCTTTAAATTACAATGTACAAGTTGCGTGAATTAAGGAATTAATAAATGAATCAGTTATTATTTTTCTTTTCTCTCTCTTAATCAAGTCCACAAAAAGGGGGATGGAAGTTGAATATATATGGTAACTACTATTGATGCAATCTCATAAATAAATTAGTTTCATTAGGTATAATTGAAAATACTTTCATATGAAGGTAAATTTGAAAATATTTGTATATCTTACAGGAGGACTAAAAATTTCCCTAATAATAATAACATCTAATGATGGGCCATCCTTATTAAATACCAAAATCCGCCCAAATCAAATAATAAATCGAGATCACAGTCCCACCTCAGTACTATACTTAATGTCCGGCCCAAAACATAAAAAAAATAAACACACCCTACATAAATAAAAGGTAAAATAATGCAAAATAGAAGCCCTGATTTTCGCATAACCAAATCAATCAACAAATCCTATTTCCAGAATGTTTGCTCTAACTCTTAGCCACCAATATATATATACTAAACCTAATATTTAATAATTAATACGTACCCCATACGATGCACGGGACAAAAATATTAAATGTGTTATTTCACATGCTTTGTCCGTTTAAGTATATAAAGCAATAAGATTATCATCTATTTTTCATCTCTTTTAATCAACTTTAAGTATAATAAACAATAAGGTTATAATATATTTTGCACCTCTTTTAATCAACGTTATTTTTTAGTCAAAATATTAAAATAATTAATATATTATTTCACTAACACATTTATCCTAATTTAAATTTGATTTTAATATATATATATATATATTTATTCCTTGATACAAGAGAGAATAACAATTTTACTTATTCTTGTTCACCATATAATACTTAATTATTATTTTATTATACACTTTATGTCATATAATGTCATTATTATTTATAAAATTATAAAAGTTGTACGTATTCTTTATATTTTTATTTTATGTAATGAAAAATATTTAATGTACATTTGCATTATTTATTTATGTAATCAATTTAAAATATGTAAATAAATTTAATATTAAATAGTGTATAAATATTTTACAAAATGTACACATATTTTCTTAGAATTTAATTTTATATACTAATTAAACAACTTTGATTTAGAAAATCCTAAAAACTCGATCCCCTATATCATCAAGATTTTTCTAGTTCGCATTATAAGGATTTGGTTTATTTAGCATACTCAACAATGAAAATATATTTACAAGAATTTAATTATAGAAATAAATCAAAATAAAAAAATGAAAAAATATAGTCATGGGTGCCAATAATATACAAATAAATGCTAAACAATAGTTAATATGTTTCAATTTTAATTTTTTACCATTAGTAAAACTATTTATTGTATTTGGTCATTATCTCTTAAATGGTAAATTATATTAATTTGAAAAATAATTTATTTTTTATATTTAACAAAATAAAGCTTAAGGAACAAATATATTGACAAATATTAATTCACCAATTTGATTTTGTCTGATTACTTGGAAAAAAAATTCTAGCTAATTTGTTACGATTTTTCATAAATATTTTTGGATAAAAAGTGAATATTTGTGAAGAAAAACTAATATTATGGTTAGAACTTAAAATATGGTGTAATATTATCTGGACCAAAATATTATCAACATGGATCACATAAATCAATCTTGTAATTCATTATAATGAATATCAATGAAAGTATTATAAATATTAATAAAATAATATTTGTCTTGACCAAAATATTATCAACATGAATCACGAAAATCAATCTTGTAATTTAATATAATAAATATAAATGAAAATACGGCAGATATTAATAATTTATTTCAGTAATTATTTGATCTTATTGAGAACGTGTAAATAGAAGCAATTAATGCATATATAAAAAATTTCTAAAAATAGCATGCATTAAATGTTTCATAAAT